GTGTATCCGCAAGATAGTGGGTAAGTTTGTTTGCGATGTCTCGCCGATCCTTCACTTCCGTGGTACTCTTGTGGCGGACCCGTTGCAGGTCGCTACCGAACTGGGTTCCTTCTTTTCTTCTGTTAGCTCTGGTTTTCATCTTCCCCAATCTTCCCTTCTTCGTAAACCTGTCCTTGAATCTCGTCCTTTAGATTTCTGCACTCGTCTTCGACTTCCCTATAATGATCCTTTCTCTCTCTCTGAACTTTGGTCTGCCCTGGCCCTCTGTGGTTCTACGGCGGTGGGCCCCGATGGCATTCATTATGAGATGCTTCGCCATCTCCCTTCGTGCACGTCTCAGTATTTACTGAGTCTGTATAATTGGATCTGGGAGTCGTCGTCAGTCCCTGAGGACTGGCTCGATGCCGTTGTCCTCCTTGTTCGCAAATCAGGGTCTCTGGGAACATCCCCTAAGGACTTTCGCCCTATTGCCCTCACAAGATGTGTCTGCAAACTCTTTGAACGTATGGTTAACGTTCGTCTGGTGTAGCTCTTAGAACACCATCACCACCTCTTCCCTTCTCTATTTGGTTTCCGCAAGTGCCGCAGCACAACAGTTGTCCTGGTGAACTTGGAGGTCTATATTCGTACTGCTTTTTCTGCGAAGACCTCCGTTGTTGCCGTCCTTTTTGACCTGGAAAAGGCTTATGAAACCACTTGGCGTTATCATATTCTATCCCAACTTCATTCTTTTGGCCTTCGTGGTCATCTCCGTCTCTTTCTCCTCAGCTTCCTCTCTCGTCGTTCCTTTCGGGTGAGGCTTGGTACCGCTCTCTCTGCCTCTTTTCAGCAATACGAAGGTGTGCCACAGGGTAGTTTTCTGAGCACTACTCTTTTTCTGGTTGCCCTCAATGGTCTTCTTTCCTCTCTTCCTTCTGGCGTCTTCTTCACTGTCTATGTCGACGAGATTACCCTTTGCTGTCAGGGTGATGATTCGCCTCTCCTTCAATGCCGGCTTCAACTTGCGATTGATGCCGTGTCGTCTTAGGCCAACAATCAAGGCTTCAGGTTCTCTACATCTAACACTTGTGCTATGACTTTTACTCGAAAGCATGTCGTTCTTCCTCCTTCTTTGTTGCTTTATGGTCACCCCATTGTGTACAAGAATTCCGCTAAGCTTTTGGGGTTGATTTTTGACATTCGTTTGTTTTGGTCGCCCCATATCTCTTACCTCCATGTTGAATGCTCTAATGCCCTTACCCTTCTTCGAGTATTGTCCCATACTTCTTGGGGAGTGGATAGGCGCACTCTCCTTGCTTTACATTCCTCTCTCGTTCTGTCTAAACTCTGCTTTACACCATACTGGGTTGCGCCTCAGTTCTGGTGCCTTTCGTTCGACTCCCGTCCTCAGCTTGTATGTTGACACTGGCTTCCTATTTCTCCAGGACCGCCGTGATCGCTACTGCCTTCGCTATCTTGAGTGGTCCTTGCAACATCCTTCCTCTCACCTCTGTCATGCTTTAACTTTTGTCCCTCCTGCAGTTCCTGTTCTTCTTTACTACCTCCCTCTTTCTGTCTGGTTATCTCGCATACAAGATTCTCTTTTAGTTTGTATTTCTAATATTTCTCCTTGTGTTTCTTCTTTGCCCCCATGGAGAGTCCCCCTTCTGCAGTTTTGTACATCCTTAACCCGCATCACTAAAGCTTTTACCCCTCCTATGGTTCTAAAACACCTTTTCCTTGAGCACTTTTCTTCTCACTCCCGCTCCGTTTCCATCTTCACCAATGGGTCTAAGTATGCGGACAGTGTAGGCTACTCTGTTGTTTTTCCTGATTGCACTTATATGTGTTGCTTATCTCCGGAGACTAGCATCTTCACAGTGGAACCTTATGCTATTCTCTCTGCTCTTCGTCTCCTGCTTTCTCGTTGTCAATCTTCCTTTGTAGTTGTTGTTGAATCTCGTAGTGCCCTCATGGCTCTCAGGTCCTTTAATCCGGTTCATCCAGTGGGTTGTCGAGATCCAGCATTGGCTGTTTCTTATTCACAGTAAATTTAAGTCAGTTGAGTTTTGCTGGGTTCCCAGCCATATTGGTGTCTCTTTTAATGAGCGTGCGGATGCTGCACCAGGAAAGCTGTCCGCTCTTGTCCCATCTCCCGTAAAGGAGATGGACCTTATTCTGACTTTTACCTGGTTATCTATTCCTCCATCCTTACCCATTGGTAAGCTTGTTGGTCTTCTGTTACTGTTAACAAACTGCGTACTCTAAACAGTTGTGTGTCCTCGTGGCCATCCTCCTACCACCGTAACAGGCGTTGGGAAACAACTCTGGTGAGGTTGCGTATTGGCCATACTCGTTTAACTCATGGTCACTTAATGGAGTGCCGCCCTGCTCCTTATTGTCCAAATTGCATTGTCCCTCTTACAGTCGTGCATATCCTTGTTCAATGTCCAGACTTCTGGGACGAGCGTGTGTCTTGTTGTCTTGTCTTGAGCGCCCTCTGATTATCCCGCACATTTGATGGTGCTACATGGCCTTCCCGGTTTGGTGCCTTCTTTTGATAATTATTTACTTTCGTCCAGCTAATAGGAGTCGGCAGTCGTCTGTTTAACTCCTAAAGCTACGTTCCTCCAAGCTGCGCCTGACCCTTCTGCAAGACATTCAATATTAACTTACACTAGGTATTCAAAAATGGGCATTGTGTCGTATATAAAATATCATCAATATTTATTAGAAATTGGTGTATTATTAGGCCTAAATTTTGTGTTCATGTTTTAAGAACATAAGAAATAAGGAAACTACAGATGGCCTATTGCCCCATACGAGACAGGTGTTATATGCTATATACCTCCCCGTCCACACACTAGACTGTATATGCACTCAAACTCACTCATATATGTGACAGACCTGCGGTTGATCACGTAACCCCATGTCTATTATGTTGTCAGGTATTTTCTCCAACAGATCAAACACCTATTTTCAGAACCATAATTTACCCAGATCTGTCCCGTTTTTATGTAAACTTATCCAAAATATATATTCCTCGTTATGGCTTTCTATCCATGTCACTCCTCGCTCTTCTTCTTTTTAAGGAATATAAAAAAAAAAATTTACCTATCATCATATGAAAGGCTTTTAATGCCAAGGATTAACTTTTGTCATATTTCTCCGATCTCATTCAAGTTAATTTATATCCATTGCTTAGTATAGCGACCAAAGTTGAACTGCATAATCCGTCTCATTCCGAACATTTGTTCACTGATTGTTTAGCTTCAGATTCTTGCTAAACATGACTCATGTAGACGATGAGTCACAATAACGTGGCTGAATAAATTAAGACTGAACCACACATCAGAAGATGAAGAGACGACGACGTTTTGGTCCGTCCTGTCGATTATCAAATCACAATCGAATTAATCAATGGGTCCAGGACGGACCGAAACATCGTCGTCTTCCTCATCTTCTGGTTTAGTGGTTTAGTCTTTATGACTCCTATGTTTCCAGACTCTGTGCTACCCTTACACAGTTTTCTCTTGTACAAATTCTCCCCCTAATAAGTTAAGTCTACTTTTCTTATCATCCTTGTTCTCTAGCATGCTTCTTATTTCTGTTCATTTACTAGTGTCTCCCTGTTAGCTGAACCGAGTCTGATATGATGTTTTCCGTGTTAGTTGCATAATGTTTTATAGGCCAATCGTCGACCATTTCTAAGAAATGCTGCTTGCCCGCCAGAGAGTGAGGTTCTGTCGGCTGCACTGGCTCCATAGTTGTTACCCAGCGAGTGTGATAGCAGGTCGTTCAAGGTGACTGTTGCGAAGCTTTGTGGCCAGGCCGGCTGGTAGGATGGGGCCGCCCTTGTTTCCTCTTCACTGTGCTTCTTCGAATGGACTGGAGTTTTCTGACCTAGCGGACTACCCGACGGTGGAGGTGGTGTTGGCTTACATCCTCTGTGTTGATATAGCTGATGTCTGTGGTGTGCAGCATATTTCTAGTCACTGGGCAGTGATCAAGTTTCTTCAGAGACTTTGTTGACAGATATGATGGGCGCTCATTCAAGCTACCTGGTGATGTTGGGTCCGTGACCGTGACGGACCGAAGTGGTACGCCCACGTATGTGGTCGTGCATGGCGCCCTGTTTGAGTTTCCCAAGGATCTGTTGTGACGTTACTTCAGCCAGTTCAGGCGTGACCTTCACGTCCGTATGAATGTCGTCTCTTCTGGCTGCCTGCGGGGCATCCCAAATGTGATCAGGACCTTCACAATGACCCTGGGGCCTGACAGCTGAGTGGACAGCGCTTCGGATTCGTAGTCCTGGGGATCCGGGTTTGGACCCAGGTGGAAGCAGAAACAAATGGGCAGAGTTTCTTTCACCCTGATGCTCCTAATCACCTAGCAGTAAATAGGTACTTGGGAGTTAGACAGCTGCTACAGACTGCTTCCTTGGGGGGGGGTTGTAAAAGAAAGGAGGCCTGGTCCAGGACTGGGCCGCGGGGACACGAAGCCCCGAAATCATCTCAAGATAACCAAGATACATCTGAGGACTCCGATCCTGTCCTGCGTCAAGCTCATAGGCTTTTACTTCTGGATTTTCTACGCTAGTCAACCTCGTACCTACTTCCGGTGCAGTATGTCGGAGTTCATGGCTGCAAGTTGCAGTGCGGGTGGTGTGGACCTCATTAACATCATCCGGGAGGAGGATTCCCTCCCCCCCATCCTCTGGAGGTTCCAGAGGCCGATGAGAGTGGTGATGTGGATGCTGTGCCTACTCTTTCGGTGGATGTTGGCGGTGCGTTGTATATTGGGCTAGCGCCTGCTGCCCCCTCAAGGTTGGTGGTGGTGTCATGGAGGTGGCGCCTGTGGACTCTTCCCCCCCCCCCATCCCCCCGCCTCTCACTCCTTCGGCTGATGTGTCTTCCGCGGTGGTTCGTGGCGGTGCATTGTCTGGAGCTGGGAATTTGTGTGCAGTGCGTGTCCCTGTGGATGCTCATGTGGTGCAGTCTGGTGATCCGGAGCCCTTCTCTATGCCTGCTCATGTGCCCTTCTCCATGCCTGCTCCTGTGCTCTCCTCTGTGGCTGCTCCTGTGGCCTCCACAATGCCTGCTCTTGTGCCCTCCTCCTTGCCTGCTCCTGTGCCCTCCTCCGTGCCTGCTCCTGTGCCCTCCTCCTTGCCTGCTCCTGTGCCCTTCTCCGTGCCTGCTCCTGTGCCCTCCTCCGTGCCTGCTCCTGTGCCCTCCTCCGTGCCTGCTCCTGTGCCCTCCTCCTTGCCTGCTCCTGTGCCCTCCTCCTTGCCTGCTCATGTGCTCTTCCCTGCGCCCCTTAGTTCGGGCTTGCTGGAACGGGAGGTTGTGGCCCCAGCTGTCTGCGATAGTGCGAGTCGCGATCTCGTCCTGGTGCTGAAGTAGGATGCAGTCTCGCAGGACACTGTGCCATTGGACCCTGTGCCGGGGGTCCCCGTCCGATCGGCGCCGGTAGTGGGGGCCCCGTGCTGGATGTTATGCGTTGCCCCTGGGGTAGGCATGGGCTCCATAATGCGGAAAGATGGGCTGAATGGGATGCGTATTGTGCGAAATATCCTCGGACTGTGTTTCCGGATAAGCCTGGGTTCTGGTGACTGTGTTTAGGTTGTGCTCTGTTGTGTGCGTAGTTTTTGTATTTGCCTTCATGTTATTGTTGTCGTCTTCTTGTATTCTTTTACTGTGGTTATGTTATGATGTGGCGCTCCGGTGCCTCCTCTTTTAAGCTTTTATTTATGTAATATGTTTATGCCAAAAAGAAATTATAAGAAATCTTTAGCCTCTGCATTGCCTGTTTTATTGTTCCAGTATATTCTACACAAATTTAGGTCACCCATAACACAAACACTGTTTTCAACCATAAACAGCGGGTGTTTAAGGTGAATTAATGGGCATTTGGCCATTGTTTATGAAGAGTGTCCGTGGTGTAGTGGTACAACACTCACCTGGCGTTCCGCGAGCGCTTTGTCATTGTTCATATCCTGGCCGGGGAGGATTTACTGGGCGCAAATCCTTAACTGTAGCCTGTGTTTAACTCAACAGTAAAATAGGTGCTTGGTTGTAAAAATGTTTCTTCATGGGGGTCGTATTCCTGGGACTTGCCCGAAACGCTACACGTACTAGTGGCTCTACAAGAATGTAACAACTTTTGTATATATGTAAAAAAAAAAAAAAAGACAGTGTAAAACGATGCAGTGCTTTCAAAGTGTGTTTAGAACATTTTACAACATCAGTAAACGTAAATTGCACGTTAATTTATGTCCACCGAAAAGAATGGTTTCATGTAGATCTCGACATTGCTCTATTTACGGTTAAGAATGTGGAATATGTTCTTGTATGTACTGATGATGGAAATCAACAATGTAACTCATTGCAACTATTTCGACGTTTTTATTGGGGGTTTTTCCTTAAGATTGTTGACTGGAGTTATAATTACTATATACTGTATGTGTCGCTTGAGCATCATTTAGCCACCATATATGTCTAGACAACTAGTGCACGACGTCCTGGATCCCACAGCCTCATTTGCTTCTACTCCACTGGACTGCGAGCCTAGCTAATCAAGCAGGTTGATTTGTTGCTTAAGTTGATTTTGATGCGTTTTTCATTGATGGAGACTAGTGGTGATTAGGATTTTCATTTATATTTGTCTAGAACATTCAAAATGTACTGTGTGGAGAGTTGTATGATATTTACAAATTTTCTTGCTCGAGCAAGAAATTTCATAACAAGTAATCCAGACTGATCGGATTAATTATCAATAGTCACCAAACCTCGAAGACTAATTTTTACTATTATTTAGTCAGAGTCGTTTCCTTTAAACAATGGAGTACTTATAATCAGTTATTGTGGGGTAAGGTTAATGTTTGTTGGGTTGGTGTGACCTCTCTTGTGATGAATCAAGTGTCCTCTGGTGAACGATGCGTTGACTTATCTGAGAACACTGTTTTCATCGTTGTTAATACGAGTCGGCATCGAGCTGCCTAGACTGTGTTCGTACATGATCACGTATTAATTATGGAAACAAAAAACAGCTTATGAATGCTGATAGCACTGTTGATCATAGACTAGTGAGCGATCGAAGTCTCATTGTTCCATTTCACCACCATTATGTGGAGACGCCTTTGATCTACAAGGCTTTAATAATCATGCGGATATTCGTTGATGGGTTTGTATCGAGTCTGCAGTAGCGGACACAAGACAGGAAGGTTTATAAATCGCATTTACTATGATATACGATATAGGAGCTTCTAGAGATATATTCATACGATAAATAGATAAATATATTCATACCCAAATAAGAAATGAAATAACATTGAGTTCTGGCTTCAATAGACAATTATAACACCACGATAATTAGTGTTTAACTTTAAAATAGACATGCGAAAAGCCATCTATATCCATAAAAAGTGTGTGTATCTGTCCAAGGGTGTAGGACAGACGCTTGCCGCTAGCCTCACACACTTTCCCACTGTTGTTTCTGTAGGCCACATATCCAATATGGTAATGACGAGATCGGTCCGGTGCAATAGAAACCCCCCCCCTCCCCATCCCCGCCTGTGAACCTATTGGTAATTGTGGAAAAAGGTTAACCTTTTAAAATGTTAGACATCGAACCTACAAAACTGAAGAATTAGCATCGTTTTGGTCCGTCCTGGGCCATTATCAAGCCGTGTTCTGTGAGACGAGAGGACATCAGTGGAAGCTGGCAGTGCAAATGAATCGACGAGATGTCAGGAATACTCTGACCCTGTGTGGGTCAACAAGTAAAATGCACTCAAAGGAAGAATTGTAGAAACCACCTTCACATACACGGTTAAAGTCAGAATCAACAAACAATTGGAATGCCAGAATAATTAGGTTATTAAGGAACAGGGACAACATGGCTTGTAAAAGTTATACCCTTAGACAGTCATTCCCCAGCACCTGAGATCCGTGGTTTGACTCACCTAATAGGAACCTTACCTGAGTATATATCCCACTTTACCATGCACGCAAAACACCATATCACACCGCGCAACACAATAGAAGTAGAATCACTTGATTGTTTCAAGCGTAGGTTATATATATATATATATATATATATATATATATATATATATATATATATATATATATATATATATATATATATATATATATATATATATATATATATATATATTTATATATATATATTTATATATATATTTATATATATATATTTATATATATATATTTATATATATATATTTATATATATATATATTTATATATATATATATTTATATATATATATTTTATATATATATATTATATATATATATATTTATATATATATATATATTTATATATATATATATATATATATATATATATATATATATATATATATATATATATATATATATATATATATATATATATATATATATATATTTATATATATATTTATATATATATATTTATATATATATATTTATATATATATATTTATATTTATATATATATATATATATTTATATATATATATTTATATATATATTTATATATATATATATATATATATATATATATTTATATATATATATTTATATATATATATTTTATATATATATTTATATATATATATATATTTATATATATATATATATATATATATATATATATTATATAATGAGTTTCGGTGGATAATATAAATACGATCGAGGTGCCTTAATTGTATGCGTCAATCGGCCTTCTGCAGTTACCTTGAATCATATACTGTTAATCCTTCCTTCGTTGTCTGACATTGTTCATCACGAGCTCATTTCTTCGTGATTTACTAACAAATACATTTTTATATATGTAAAGAGATACATAAAATAATATATTGTTAAATATATATCAATATACATTTCAAAATATAAATGTATATAATATGACGGCATTGCTGGCGTTGTTCATCTTATACTGTACGGTTTCAATGAATCGAAATATTTTCTTAATGTCAATATTAAAAAGAGCAATCAAGTTACCAAAAATCATGGTAAACAAAGTGTCATAGTTACTGAAGGATCTATTTTTTACAAGGTTTCGTTCTCATCTCGAACACCTTCAAGTAATGAATGAACCTCGAACATAAGGTGTAACTTTGGGTTAAATACCAGCCCATGCTCTTAAACGAAGGGCAAAAGTGCAGCCCATCCATTAGACAAAGACGCAAAGTTCATTCTATGTATCCGGCAAACCCCCTGTTAATGAATTAAGACGGTTTTCGCACGCAACCCGTCCTCGATTCAAGTCCATTACATCCAGCGGTCGACCCCACAGACGCATTCATAAATTTGTACATGCTGTTCATTCAAAACGGGAATTTTCTTAAATATAAATTAATATTATAATATATTAGCATATTGTGTATATGTAGGCATAGGTTAGGTTAGGTCAGGTGCTTAGGTTCTGTTGCCAATTATATGTATTTGTAGTATCTGGGTGAAACATTTATAGGGTTGTAGTTGGAACAAAATTCGTTAGTGAAACACTTGTTCCGGAAGTGTTCGAACGAAATCCGTGGAGTCGTGTGTAAACCGTTTTTCACTCATAAACAGGGGGTTTGGCTGGTGCATGTAATGATCTTTGGGTCTTTGTTTGGAGGACGGGCTGTCACATGACTCTGAACTGAAGACGTTCGAACACTTCCGGAATAAGTGTTTCACTGACGAATTTTGTTCGAACGACAACGCTGTAAATGCTTCACCCATGTAGTACAAATACAAATAATCGCGAACAGAACCTAAATGCCTAACCTAACCAATAACTAAATATGCACAATATGCTAATAAAAAAAATAATAATATGTTATGTGAGAAAAATCCTATATTGAACGAACAGCATGTTAAAATTGGTGAAAGCGTCTTGGGGGTCGATGGAGGGGAGTTAAGTGTGATTACGGGTTATCTTGAGGTTGAATACACTCGTGAAAGGTGTGACTGGTGAAAGGAATAAAGAGGGCAAGCATAGGGTAAGAAATAGGGGAATAAGGCAATAAAACATGAGGTAATGTGTTGAATGAAAAGCTGGTACTGTCGGTGGAGACGTCGTCGTTATCCGGTCTCGATCTGGATCTGAATGTTAACAAGTTGTTATTCTGTATATTTATATACTCATAACTATATATTCATGATCATCCTGATATATAGTCCCCCTCCACTCCCCCCTCCATCCGTAATGCAGTATTGTGTATTAAAATAGTTTCATTATAAATTACTAGTATTATATATATATATATATTTAAGTTCAAGGCATAGTTAGGCGTAGGTTAGGTTAGACGTTTAGGTTCTGTTGGCGATAATATGTATTTGAAGTACGTGAGTGAAGTATTTACAGCGTTGCGAATCGAATAGAGGGCGTCAGCGAAGCACTGGTTTAAGAAATGTTCGAACGTCATCATTTGTGATTCGAATGTAAAATGTTTTTCTTCGTAAAAATATGGGTTTGGCGGCTAGATTAATGAGTATTTAGCATTTACTTATAAGGACGGGCAGCGTAATATAGTGAAGATATTGTCAGAAGTTTCAAAAAGAGCTTAATGTACCACCCTGTCGATGGTTATGAAGGTCACTACAATAGTTTACCAAACTTTCAGCAGGGATACTTTTAGCCATAAACATAGTCCATAACTAAAGTAAACTCAGTGTGTATACACCAAGAAGTGGGGTATAATACCTTTTTGTGTGTATATTTCAAAGTTACATGAAATAAATCTCATATGAACTATTAGAGTATCCAATTAGGTCGAGCCGACCAATGAGAGTACAGCTAGCGAGAATGTGACGTCAATTGAAAAGGGGAAACGTGATTGGCTGTTGAGTCTACCTGCTCGTTGAGGAGGAGCGGAGCGTTATTTTGCCCCTAGAAGTCCTGTGAAAGGGTCGTATAGGTGTGGTAGTGTTAGGGGTCTGATGCGCCCCGTGCTGGAACCCAGTTGATGTTAATGGGTCGCTGGGGCCCAACAGACCCCTAGGGTACACAGTCCATTTATACACCCTCATAACTAGATATCTAGGTGGCAAAATAACTATTTTTCAAACTTTATATCCCCGTGTTTTTGGGTGTATGTAAGGTGGTATTTTAATCTTTATTAATAATAGGTACTAAAATATCTTTACCATTGATGACCTAGATACTGTCATTAATAACCATGCCTTCAGGATTGCTGACTCGTGGCGGCTGCAACTACCGTAGGTGTGTTGTGGGTATTGGGAACGTGAAATGACGTGACTGGCGACCCAGGAGACGAACTTTATGATGGAAACGGTGGAATCTGCGAAACCCTTGATGGCAGTGTGGACGTACTTACCAGAAGCTGGTGGCTGAGGTGTCCCAGATAAGCGGAAAAGTACTTTAGCCTATGAAGATGACTAATGTAACAGTGGAAGGCTTCATGGTGCAGGTGTGTGGTTTAGGTTACATTTAACAGTTGGCAAGGGAGGATAGTGTTATGCATCGCACCTAATAAGTGAAATGATGTATTTAAGCCGGTTAAGTTACCGTAAGTTTCGTATACTAAAAAAAAAAAATTGTAAATCTGCAGGTTTGACGTATGGCATGAGCCAAATCATTTTAGTAAAGATAATGCTCATCTAGTCTGACTTGGAATTCCAAAGCTGTTTAGTATGTACTAGTGCCGTTTGTAATATTTAGTCCGGCTAGTGGTTAATTTACTACTAGCCCCTCAAAGGGTAACGGCTGGTGAACAAATTGAATGTGCAACCTTGATTAGTTTACACCCCTATTAAAGTGAAACTTCATAGTTTCCAAAAGTAATGCAGAACAGTTCAATTAAGCTTGCAATTGCAAAGTCTTTAGGTAATCCATAGTCCTGAATAATAATGTATTTCCTGCAGCCGCTAACTTTTTGCCATGTTGCAGGTAATAACCGACTAGCTGGCGCACCCTGGAGCAGAGCCTCGCCAGCCCAACAGTTTCATCAGTTGTAGTAGTGAACATTTCGTGATAATCCTCGTAGATAAACCTGGGATACGTTCAACCTTCGCCCCCCACATTACAACCTGAAGGTGAGCCAGTGGTAATTGTGTGCATGGTTAAAATTGTTAGGTGTCGACGGCAGAGGTCAGTATGCTAACAGCACTACTGTTGTGGCAGCTTGAATGGGGCAAAGCTGCATCGTACCATTTTTCGAAGCAGAGTAAAAAATCTTACGTAAAATTGAACAAACTGTGCCTCTAAGCTGGCTTGGATGTTTAGGTGAGTAGCGAGTGGTTAAAATTAAGTACTTGTTAAACTATTTCGAAAGGTGACATTTGCATTTGAGAAGGTCCTAATAAAGCAAATACGTGGAAGGAGTGCGGATTTGAGGTTGAATCAAAGTACACTATGCCTATATTTAAGTTACTTACAATTATTGTACAAGTTAACACGTAGTGAAATACCTAATATCAGTAGGGTGGATGGAAAGTGACCAAAAATTATCATTTAAAGGGAGAGGAAGAACGTATTTCTCACGTGGACGTGAAAGTAATCTCTGGCGGCGTTTCGACCGTTACGGAAAAATATTCCTATATATACTAGTTTTGTACAGCCACGCATAGCGTATCGGGCAAATCCTTACTCCTAATAATTAGCGGAATACGATCCGCATAAGTTTTAACCAGGTACTTAACTGTTGGCTCTTTACCAACAGTCAATTGTCAAGGATTGACGTGCAGCAAATCGTCCCCGCGCAGGATACGAACTCTGGACAAAGTGCTTGGCAAACAGCAGGCGAGCGTGTTTTGTTCCTAGGACAAATGGTAACCTGTAGGACTACTGATCAGTGTAACCCTGGGATAATGTTTATGTAAGGGGGGGAGAATGTAGTGTGCAAGTTTGCAGTGAGTTTTTATGGTATAAGTTCTTGAAAAATTGTTGTTGCCGATGTCTAAAGTAATTTAGTAGTAAAGTAACGTTTGACAGTGTGATTTGAGTATAGGTTTGAGAACTAACGGTAAGTTTGCTATGATTGACAAGGATGTTCATATAAATCATAGAAATGAGGTGTGAACGAAAATTGAGCGCCGTGCCGGCTGTAGTGTTTGAATATGGTTGTCGTTCTCGCATTCACCAAATATTTAATCGCCAATATAAAGTTGTAGTTACTAGGTTACTTAGATTGGACTTAATATCACAGATGGAAAGTTTTGAGAAGCCATCGGCTTACCGCCGAGTAAAGTAAGAGTAAATAGGCAAGGTCGCAAAAAGTGTGTAAGAGGTGATAGTAACATTAAAGATTGTAATGTGTTGTAATAATGATTGACACTAATTTACTATTATAATACTTATTCATACGACCAAGAGCTCGTAAAAATGTTTAACCAGAAATGTTAATCTTGAATCGTGGTTTGGATGTAAAGGTTCGAACCAGGTCGTTTTGCGACAAAACAGTCGGTAATTTCAACTGCAGATGTTAACCTCGAGGCAGTATGTGTTGTTTACTGTGTAGGTGGTAGTGGAGGATGGCAACGGAATGATGTGCAGATCTTGTGCGACCACAAGTGGTGCACTGACATTAATCACGTTTATGGTGTTAATTGATGTATAAGCGCACATGTGTTGAGTGGGGCACACGGTCATGGGTGAGTTATGATGGGGGTATAGTATTATAGTTTGAGTCCTCGTCACAGGTGGAAGAAATGAATTGCAATGTTGCATTTGTTTTAGTTGTATAAAGCAGTTTGAATTTAGTAGACATGTGAAAATAATATACAAAGACTGTAATAGGTTTGAATATAAATATTGACTAGATAATAAAAATGAAGCCTAGAAGAATATTGTTTGGCGTTTGGTAAGATTGGTTTGTATGAAAATACTGGGCAGAAAGTATAAACGGTAAAAAGTTTGGAGCTCATTTATCTAAGTAGGTAACACATGCACTTAAGTATCCTGCCTGTAGGTGAAATAGGAGATTTTAATAATTATATCGGTTATGTAATTAGTACAATATTGTCGAAGGTGTGATCGACCGTTAGGTTAATAATAAAAAAAGGGGAATTACTGTAAAAGCTTATAATGGTTTGTGTGGTACATTTTGGAATAGGTTCATAATGCTGTTTGATATTTGCATGTATAGTTACAATTGTAACATTCCTTCCCTTGTCAAGTTATCAGGGTAAAGCATTACGAATAAACTGGAAAGGGATGAGCATAAGAAAAATGCGTAGAATTATTTGCAACCACTTCGAGGGTCGGGGATTGAACGGCGACGTGCATGAAGACCGTTGACCCATTCCTCCTAAGGTACTGAAAGGTTGTTCTTAGGAAAAAGTAATCAATTATTGTCCTATAAATGTGTGTGTTTGGAGACTTGAGTAAATCATTAAATGTAAAATGATAGTAATAAATTGGGACATTAGAGTACCAAATAGATTCGATTACTCGACGGTTTAAAGCGTGGGCGAGTTGCTTCAGAGTCTGGTTATTGGAGGGTTGTGTGCGTTATGGAAGAAGAGCTGCTGTGTATGGTATTTAACATGTCTCTCCTATATGAATGTATAGAATCCTGACTAGAATGTTTCCACAGGTGAGATGCTTGATTACCCGAGACGTGGTTATCTTGAGATGATTTCGGGGCTTTAGTGTCCCCGTGGCCCGGTCCTCGACCAGGCCTCCACCCCCAGGAAGCAGCCCGTGACAGCTGACTAACACCCAGGTACCTATTTTACTGATTTATTTATTTATTTATTTATGCATATACAAGAATGTACATAAGGAATGTGAGGATACAATTATGGTAATTACAGTCTTGTAAAGCCACTAGCACGCGCAGCGTTTCGGGCAGAAACGATAGGTAACAGGTGCATAGGGTGAAAGAAACTCTGCCCATTGTTTCTCGCCGGCGCATGGAATCAAACCCGGGACCACTGGATCACAAGTCCAGTGTGGTGTCCGCTCGGCCGACCGGCTCCCTCTGGTTGGGGAAGACCCTGATAAGTTCCTGTGTAGTTGCTGTAGGACGACACACCTTGAGGTGTTAAGTATACGTGTTGCATACAAGGTAAGAAAGAATGGTAATATAGTTGTAAAAGAGCCCCTCTGTGGTGAGGGCTCACGTACACCTCCCTGTGACTGGTGAGGGTTGCCTTTGCCCCCCCCCCCTCTCCTGCCCATCTTTGGGTAGTGTACGTGCAGAAGGGCACCACGTAGGGGGCCTTGTGACCCATCGGACCACCCGCTGGAAGGGTCACCCGTGATGGGCCGCCCTGAGTGATTGATTGGGTGTCGAGGCTGGGGCGATAGGGAAAATGGGGGTCTTAGCACCGATGTGGGAGAATGGACTATGTAGTAGGACTCCCCTGTTGAAAAGTGGGAGCACCGCTGGGGACGATGCACCCCTTCCTGCACGGGCCCGCGCTCCACCTCCCTGGTAGGTAGTATCCCTTGGTTCGTGGTCCCATACCTTTAAAATGATGCATGTACGGCGACACAACTTCTTTCCCAGGCTCATGGGGTTGGCGACCAGGCCTCCCCCCCCCCCCTAGAGTCAGACTGTACTGGAAGACAGAGTTCTGTAGCTCCCGCTACAGGGTCCGGTTTGGGCCCAGACCGGACTACTACCTGATCTTCTCCCTCCCTCTGGTAGGGTCGAGCCCCAAGCCTTGTATGGTCCTCGTCCCCTTGCACGGCTCCATCTTTTACTGTGACTACTGTGCCTTACGACCCATCTTTCTAAGAGGTTCTCACCGCCGTCCCCGCCATGGTTGCTCTCGTATGGTACCTTCCCATACTACTTCGTAGCATGGCATTTTTGGTCCTGCTATGTGGATTAAGTACTTTGATTTTTCCCTTCATAGGCACTTTGTTGATTCCATTGATTCCTCAGTTACTTTCAACCCGACCCGTCTCGGTTCACGTGTCGTTGCTGCTGCTCCTCAGGATGAAACCACCTGCTTGGCCGCTTTATCCTTCTAGCATGTCCTGGAAGCCCCAGGCCATTCTGTCCTTCAGATGTAAACGTTTACTCGTCCCCCTCGGGGTCGTCGCTGTCAGCCCCTTTTGTGGTAGGACCCTTCCGCCCTCTTGTCATTCTTGCTGGTTCCAGATGCTCCGTTTCAGTATATTGCATCTCCTCGGCCGTGTAATAAGTGCTAGCAGTTTGGACATGGTGCACTCAAATGCTCCAGTCCTGTCTCCAGGTGTGGAGGCGAGGGTCACTCTAAGTTGGAGTGCACTTATCCCCAGGCCTGTTGCCTCAATTGCGGTGAGGGCCGCCCTACCTTCTCCGGCGCATGTATACATTATAAAATTGAGGTAGCCGTCCTCAACTGAAGGACCGGGAACGTTTGTCTATTCCTGAGGCGAGGCACCAAGTGCGCCGTCTCCCCCTTTCATTGACGTATCTTATGCTGGCGTGTTGCACTCTTCCTGTCCTCGTTCTTGGGACCTTCCTCAGTCTGAATCGTTTCCAGGCCTTACACCCGGACACGCCCACCACCACATCTCCCCATTTGTGTACTTGTAGTGTTCCGAATAGTCCCCCTCATGGTTCTGTTTGGGGTTCCCCTTCTTTGTACCCAGTCTGTCATGTCTTCCTGTGTGTTGTTCCTCGTCTCCCTCTGATCCTCGTTCCAATCATTCTCGTCTGTGTCTTGGCTCTCCACGCCGCCTGTCTGTGTGGGCTGATGTCCATCACTCTCCCGGAGATCATATTGTTCGCTCTCGTTCTTTATCTATTGAGAAGCTCGAGTCTATTGCCCAGTACATTGCTGGTGGAACACCTGTTTGAGGGTCAGAAGCGAAAGCCTGGCTCATATCCTTCCTCCTTCCCGGCGGGTAAGAAAATTTTGCTGTCTTCCTTGCCCCCTATCTCTAACTCTCTTGTTCCATCCCCTCGTTTCGTTGGTAGAGCCCCCTGTTTCTTCTGTGGAGGTTTTTGGCCACCCCCCTCCACCGCTTCCCTCTTAGTTGCTGCCCTTGCTGAGGTGCGCTTGAATCTTTCTGCCCCTCCTCCTGTCCTTGACCGCGCATCTTGGTTGTCTCCTCCTCCGGACCCTGCTCATCCACCTGGTGTGTCCTCCTGCTCCCTTTCCTCCATCTTTACTCAGTTTAGCCATGCCCCCTAACCCTTCCTTCTCTGATCCTGAGCTTCTCTGAAGTGCTGCATTCCTTTTTCACCTTTGTTTCTTCTTTGTTCTCTGTTACTATCCTTTCTCTTTTTGTCGATGTCTATTCTTGAGTGGAACATTCGTGGATATTATGGCAATTTCCTTCACCTCCAACTTATAATATCGGTTTGTTCTCCTTTTTGTCTATCTGCAGCCTCAGAAGCTTGGTGCTCGTCCAGGTCGCTTCCATGGCTATTCCTTCCCCCCCCTCCCCTCCCCCCCAGCTGTTGATGGGGCCTATAACTCTTTTGCTTTGTTGATTCGCTCTGATGTTCCCTTCGTCCCCCTTAGTTTTTCCATGGCCTTACCAACGCTGTGCTGGCCGTGTCATTGTGCATAAATGGTAGAATGTTCTAGTTATCTCCCCCTAACTGTCCCGCTTATTCTTCCTGATCTTAATCACCACCTGGACTCTTGCTGGAGCCTATGCTCCTGCTGGTTGATTTCAATTGTCGACATACCCTCTGGGGAGATGTTCTGACAAACACCTGGGGTTGCCTTCTCGAACCGTTCATCCTTTCTTCTTCCCTGTCTGTTCTGAATTGTAGTGAGCCTACTCATTTAGACTCTCGGACTTGCACCCTTTCCTGTCTTGATATTTATCTTTGGTCGTGATGTGTCAAGTTAATTGTGAGTGGTTGGCTTTTGATGACCACATGGGAGTGACCCTTTTTCTGTTTTACCCCCTCCCCTCTCCTTACATACGTGGCGGTTTGCCGAGGCTGACTATCGGCTGTTTACCCTCCGTGCTGTCTCCAACCTCTCCATTCTGCCTGTCCCTCGCACCCTCGTCCTTTTTCATGACACGGTTTTCGATGCTGCCCTCCACTCT